ATATAACAGATTGTAACAAATAATTAAAAAAAAAGGAGCTTCTATACTGAAAAAAATCACGTCACATAGTTGCATAATGAAATCATGTAATTAAATCATGTAAATTACATAACGGATTGTTCCAAAAAAATCAATACATGATTTTTTAAATTATGTAATTTGAAAAATTATATGATAATATGTTCTTTTTTCTTTTATTTCTATTATTCAATTCTTGAAAATTCGGTAATTATAAAATCACATGATGGATAAAATTATTTCTAATATCATGTGATTTTTTTCACATTACATCATTTTTAAAAATCACGTACTGATTTGGGACAATCTGTTAAGTGATTTACATGTTTACTTACATGATTCCATCTTAATGACAAAGAACTAAAAAGAGCAACTGAAATAGTGTAAATACATTTATGATTAATCCTTTGAAAAAAATCATGTCACAATGTCATCATGTTACATGATTTTTTTCAAGAGACAGATCATAAATGTATTTTCAGTATTTCAGTTGCTCTTTTTAGTTCATTGAGATGGAATCATGTAAATAAAACATGTAATCATGATTTTCAGAGGAAACATGTGATGGCTATGTTTTTTTATCATTAAGCTTTCGATTGTAGTAACTTGGGTAAGTGTAAAAAAAGTATCGATGAAAGTATCGAAAGATCAATCTTTGAGAGATCGGAACATCTCTATCTGTCTGAATTTTCAATAAATTAGTTTTATATTGATGAATTATAATATTTTTAAATCGATAATGATTTAACTAATATTACTTAACATCAAATATCTTTTGTCTTCTGAAGAAACTAAATCTTTACATATAATATGAAATCTCATTGTGCTATACTGTGAGAAAGTAAAGCAAATATATAATATATATTCAGGATATAAAACTATTTTTCATGCATAAATATATATAAATACGCATAAATATATATGTTTATGAATATTTATGTATGTTCATATATATTTATATATGTATTCAAGCATGAAAAATTTTTTTACTAGGTAGATATAAGTTCTTCGGATTTTTTATTTAATCTACATTATATAAAATTACTAGTTGTGAATCACTTTAAAGAAAAAAATTCATATTTTTAGATCAATCTCAGGCAGAACAATCTCAAACAATTAATAAAATATTTAATAATCATGATTAATCATAAAGATTATGTTATGGATTTTATATCATTTCATTACCATTTTATATGTTTTAATTTGAATTAAATAAAGTAATGACAATTATTCATAATTAGACCCCATGTATTAATTGCGGATCAATACTTTACAAATGCTT